TTGTTACCGTTCGATCTTGGGGTTACGGTCTCTCTCTCTCTCTCTCTCTCTCTCTCTCTCTCTCTCTCTCTCTCTCTCTCTTGTGTCGCGTTCGTTGTTGTTGTCGTTCGATCTTGAGGTTACGGTCTCTCTCTCTCTCTCTCTCTCTCTCTCTCCCTCTCTCTCTCTCTCTCTCACGTCGCGTTCGTTGTTGTTGTCGTTTGATCTGGGGTTACGGTCTCTCTCTCTCTCTCTCTCTCTCGCGCGCGCGCGCGCGCACGCGTCTCGTGCGGTGTTGTTGCCGTTCGATCTTGGGGTTAAGGTTTCTTTCTCTCTCTCTCTCTCTCTCTCTCTCTCTCTCTCTCTCTCTCGTCTCTCATCGCATTTGGTCTTGTTGCAGTTCGATCTTGGGGTAATGGTCTCTCTCTCTCTCTCTCTCTCTCTCTCTCTCTCTCTCTCTCTCTCTCTCTCTTTGTTTTCGTGAACTTGATCCGCAAAGTTTGTCTGACCTTTTGCTCATTTTTGGATTGCATCATTCGCCGTTTCTTATGGATTGATTGCCAGATGGGCACTCTTCTTTCGCAACCATTTGACCCCAATGGGGGTGCTGTTGTGCTGTTGAAATTTTGGAACAATCAATCAATCAATCAATCAATCAATCAATCAACGGGGGTGCTGTTGTGCTGTTGAAATTTCGGAACTGTTCATTTATCTTCAATCAATCAATCAACGGGGGTGCTGTTGTGCTGTTGAAATTTCGGAACTGTTCATTTATCTTCAATCAATCAATCAATCAATCCATCAATCTTCAATCAATCAATCAATCAATCAATCAATCGGCCCGTCAACCAATTGACTGATCAATCAATCGACTTCATCCATCTTTCAACGAAGGGTTCTCTTCATTGATTGATTGAATGATTGATTGATTGAGTTTGATTGATTGAGTTTGATTGATTGAGTTTGATTGATTAACTGGTTCATTGGTTGATTGATTGGTTGACCGGTGGATTGGTTGATTGATTGGTTGAGTGATTGGTTGATTGATTGATGGTTTGATTGATCGAACGATTGATTTATGTGAATGGAGACTGGAGGAGGGAGGCCATTGAGGGGCAAGGAGTGAATGGGGAGTGGAGGAGGGAGAGCATTGAGGGTCAGGGAGTGAACCGGCTTTAACAAGTTTTGTTCTATTCGCTGTCTTTGTGTGATTGCAGGATGACTAAAAGCGGCAGCCAGGCCGTGAAGAAACACTTCAGGGAAGTGGGAATCAGTGGGCAAGCTGACAAGGGAAACAGAAAGCATGTATGCGTTTACTCAAGGGGTTGAGATGCAACATCGAGCGCCTCAGAGGTACTATACCAAAAGAGGAGTACTTGAGGAGGGAGAAGGGCAGGTCGGCTGCGAGGGCCGAGTTGGGGGCCAACATGGGAAAACCCGAAATGGAGGTGTCATCGGAGGATGAGAATGCTCCGCGGACATCGGGAGGAGTTGTGGATCCATCGGGGTCTGCAGTAGGCCTCCGCCAGACGAATCCGCAAACGTCGGCGGCAGCAGTTGCGGATCCATCAGGGTCTGGAGTTGGGCTCCGCCAGACAACGATCATGGACAGTGCTGCTGTCATCACGGCACACGAGCAAACGCAGCGCACTATAGACGACTGGATGCCGGCCGAATGCATCCCGTTCAACATGATGAAGAGCGAGTACTGGGACAGAATGGTGCACGCGCTAACGAACGCGCCGAAAGGCTTCAGGTATGCGAAGTTCGAGAATGCAAGGACAAAGAGGGTTGAAGTGACAAGGGGCAGGGTCGGGAGTAGGGTGGAGGAGTTGCGACAGGAGTGGCCAACCACTGGCTGCATGTTGCAACTTGATGGTTGGACAGATTGCCGGCAGAGACCGCACATCAACGTGATGGTCTCCTTTCCTAAAGGCTCCATCTTTTGGAGAAGTGTGTGTATGTCGAGGCGCAACAAGGGCGCCTCAGCATACTACGCCATTTTGAAGAGGGCAATAGAGGAGATAGGTGCGGAGGCAGTGGCGGGAGTCATTATGGACAATGCAGCTGTTTGCGCAGCTGCGGGGCGAATGATTGAAGCAGATTACCCTCACATCTTCTCTGTCCAGTGCACAGCACACTCCCTCAACTTGATGTTCGAGTCTTTCGCGAAGATCGGGTGGGTCGGCGCAAGCATTAAAAGGGCATCGGAGTTGGCGAAGTTCTTCACGAACCATTCGCGGGTGCGGGACCTCCTGACCCACTACTCCGGTGGCGGTGTCGTGGCAAAACCGGGTGCGACCCGATTTGGCACCAACTTCATCATGCTGTCCAGCCTGCAGCAGTTGTACTTGCCACTGCGTGCGTGTGTGACAGATGACGACTGGAAGCCAGCGATCGTGCACACTTCGCTGCGTGAGCAGTTTGTGAAGGCGTAGCATTCCATCTTGGACGACACCTTCAGGGCAGATGTCGAGAAGGTGATGCAAAGGTCCAAAGAACTGCTCAAACTGTTGAAGAAGGTCGATGGCACGGGCCCCACCATCAGTAAGGTGTATGCCCGTATAGACAGCGCAGTGGAGAAACTAAGGGAGAGCAATCACTTTTCCAAAACGGAGGAGGAAATGGAGGAGATCATCATGCGACGCTGGAACGCAATACCATTGCCGCTGCATTGTGCTGCACTGTTCTTGGATCCGGAGTACAGAGCATCGCGGCCAGAAACGGATGCAGAGGTTGCAGATGGGTTTTGGACGTGGCTTTACTCGTGGTGCAAAGAGTCCTCGTTTGCTGAGGTCGACGCAGAGGTTTGTTCTTGGATCGAGGGCACTGGGCGCCACGATTGTGAACATGCAAGGACTCGAGGCCGTCTGATGCAGCCGGCGAGGTGGTGGAGGAAGTGGTGCAGTGACATGCCCATCCTCCAGAAGCAAGCCGTTCGTCTGCTTGGACAAGCGTCCTCCTCCTCTTGTTGCGAGAGGAACTGGAGCTTGTTCGAACGAATTCATAGTCGTCTCCGTAACAACCTCGGCGCCATCAAGCTCAGCACGCTGGTTTTCAACAAACAGATGGAACCAGCATTTGTTGGATGCCTTGATTAAGAAGCCGAAGGCTGTCAAGGATTCACCGCAATGGGAAGAGGATGAACCAGTGGAAGATCTCACACGGGTTGAGATGGCCGCGGATGGACGAATGCGGTTGGCGGAGTGGTGTGCCCGACTGCACAAAACAGAGCCGGTTAGTGACGCAGGTGAGAACGATGACTCAGGCTCCGACGACGACGACAATCCCGTTGAAGCAACACAAACGCCTGTTCCAGAGGAGATCACAGTMCAACGTCATCGGCTGCGCAGAGATCTTCTTGAGCTCGAGAGACAGCTCAACGAGTCATGGAGGAAGGCCACAAAGGCTTCCAAGTTTCTGGCCCGGCAACATTTGCACGAGTTGGATCAGGCCACGAGATCCATGACCGTTGAGCATGCCAACAAATACAAAGCTGCAAGGGCAATTGCATGTGCACCGCCCTTGATCCCGGCCAAACGAGGGAGAGGGAGACCTCGGAAGGATGCTGCAACTCAAGGCGGGACAGGTGATGAGGAGGAGGCCCAAGACGTGGAAGGTGACAATTTGGCAGGAGGTCCTGCACCCGCACGTGTCTCAAGAAAGCAGGGACGACCGCGGAAGGAGCCCGTGCAAGACGAGGAGGAAGCAGCGCCAGAACAGACAAGCAGCGATGAAAGTGGTGGCGGTGGTGATAAAAATGATGGCAGCAGCGATGGTCACGACGGGAGCGGTGGCTGCGATGGGACTGATGGCAGTGGCGAGGAGGACGAAGGCGAAGGAGACGAGAAAGATGGTTGTTCGTCGGAGGAAGAGGGCGACTCCGAATCAGAACCCCTGGCTAAACTGCGCAAGACATCCCACTAAAGCACGCACGCGGACCATCAAACATTTTTCAAAGTTCTTTTATTTTTTTTCTTTATTTTTTTAGTTCTGTCACTTGTGCCTGCTTTGCAGTGTTCGGAACTCTGCATGTTTGCTAGTTGAACATGGTTGTTGATTTGCAGGGAGACAGGCCCTCTGCTGCATGAACTTCCTTCGAAAGGCAAATCAGGTGAGTGCCTGC